ACTTGTTTGACTGTTGGAATTATATTGAACGTTATATTATGTCCAAGGTAATAGTGAAGTTAGGTGGATTTCATCTGCTTATGAGTTACATGGGTTGAGTGGGAAAAATCATGGGTGGCAGTGGCCTCGAATAAATGTGAGGTATTTGCTAAAACACTGTTGTCCACATGGCTAAATGGACATGCTTATGCAATAACATTACGCAAAAGCATTCGCTTTCTCAGGCAGCAATCGGTCTTTTGATTGTGGAGTATTGCGAGGAAAGCAGATTTTTAAGCGGTTCTGACGTCGAAACTCTCAGAGGAATTCACAACAAGTTGATAAGCTTGTCTTCCTCCGAAAAATCTTTTCTATCAAAAGACAAACCTTTACTGAGTGCTGTATCTAGAGCGGTGAAGAAACTAGAAGAAAAAAGCCGTGAAGCTAAATTATGTTCGCAGTATTTCAAGGAAGTTTCTGTAATGCATTATTTCGTGAGACCGGAAAGAACAGGTGACTGAAATCTTCATCTCTACTCCATCCAACGCATGTTAGTTCACCTCCATGCAGCTGGGAATATTTATTACGCTAAATCAGCTCTCCTGTATCTTCAGAATATGTCTAATCTTAAGACTAGTTTGTCGGATCAAGAGTTTGAACGTTTCGTTGAGTGAGGGTTATTTTACAGTTCGGCGATCGGATAAGTTTTGGTGCGGCGTTTGGACGGATATAACTATAGAGCAGGTCAAATGCGATCTATGAAGATTAGCGGTGGCTTGACCTAAAGCCGAAATATGTCTGATGGCGTCTTAGCGCGTTGGATTTGCACCATGCCGTGAAGTCTTCAGGTGACGGAACAGTGGAAGCTTTCGCTGAAATGACGGATGAACCGACCAATACATTTCTTTATCGAAATCGTGGCAGACTCGAGATACGAGTGATTTGAAGAAATTTTTAATTTGGCTGAAACAGCATTTGCCCTTCATCCAATCCGAAGAGCTCATTCCCCTGTCTTCAGGAATTGTTGTCGATGATAGAGTTAATTGTGACTCAGCAGAAGAGCTAGGCGAAAATGCTGTCAGAGGAATCGTGGGAAAAAGATATGCTGACGTGATTTTGAAGAGGAAACTGCAAGTGTTCACACTGGCCGCTATGGAAAATGCTAAATTAATTGATACAGATCCTGTAGTTTTTAACCTTAACCAACTGTTTCACCGCATCGAGTGTGTTTTAAGAAGTGTGGACGACCTTGAAGGCTGTCTACAGTATGAATGGACACCTTACCTTCATTCTTTATACGACGACGTTGGTCTTCGCGCGGGACGAAGACGATTTTACTGAACGATATTGAACACTACCTGTTTATTTATGCGTGAATATTTTGATTTTTAAATGAGTTCCATCAAGTTGTATGTTTTCAAACGAATTAATTTTTTGTGAAAAATGCTGTATTGTTTGTTTTTAAATTTGTTTTACGTTAATAAAATTATATCAACTCTTTATTTCAGACTTTTTATTGCAGAAATGAGTTTTACTTCCAAAATAGAAACGTTTGAAACCGACAGCACCTCTCTATGATTGTCCATTGCGGAGTTATAGCTTTTTGGGGAAAATCCAAGATGGCGGACATTTACTCAAAATTTAAGGGTGTTGCCCAAGGAGGATTTCTTGGGATTTTTCTGGGGAAGTACAGGGGGACCTAAAGAACCTATTTCAGAAGGAATTAGCTTTCTAATATTTATTTCCGTCTCCAACCTTAATTTGCCTATACTATACCTATTCCCGTCCCATTTCCACATTTACGGTCGGACAATCCAAATGGAGTGATGGAAATCGGGTCTGGTTGGATATCCAATCTTCCCCGCTATGTCAATTGTGAGAGGCTTTCACATTCATGCTCGGTTTAACGCGGAGAGTTCGTGAAAGATATACAAATAACCCATGGGAACTTCAGTCGATATAAAGTGCATAGAAATGGGAGTCAAGCTGGTATCTAATATTTGTGTGTTATATTTTATGAGAAAGAAATTAGCACTTATGATGACGATATATGAAATTAGCCCTGATTATAGCAATTTATCCAATATAATCAGGCCCAGATTTCCCATAGGACCAACCTAGGTCATAGCATAGAACGCAAATATAAAAGAAGTTACCATAAAACTTTCACAAATTTCAGTATTATTTTCGAAAGACCACACAAACACTGTTTTTCAAGCACATTCACAGTGGCGGAAATAGGGTGCAAAAGTGAGGGAGGGGCCAAAATTCATAGACACCTAAAAGTAACCCGAAGTTTAGGGGTAGACAAAAAAATTTAGAAATTAAGTTAAAAAGTTATTCAGTTTTCCAAGACACTATTTTTTATATATAATTCCTAGTTTTAGGCAGCTAAAATGAAACAAAATTTAATTTTTCCACAAAAAGCGGAGGAAGGGGGCGTTCTGTCCCCCTCCTAGAGTCGCCGCCACTGCACATTCATACACATTAAATAAACTGGTGGCACATTTACGTTGCCTATCTCTATAGTTGCGATAAATGCAGGGGAGAGGGCGCAAAATTAAGCCTAGGGCATAGAAATGTATAAATCCGGCCTTGACTATAATAAGATCAATTTAAATGACGTCGCCCAAATAGGATAAGATGCTCTATAATATGCTACGATATCTTTACGACATTGTAAAGCATTTAGAATATCGATTAACATCGTGGAAATATCGTATAATATTGCTACAAAAGTCTTTTTGTGGGTGTAGGTGCAAACACTCCAACACGCAGGATAATGGAGAATGAAAGTTTATTCACAAATATGCAGGAAAACACGTAGCACAGGTGCAGGAAACAATAGTTCTTGCACAGATTACCAGTGTAAACAGACAACAATTCACGGGTAATAACAGTTCAGCACTTTGATATTTAGCAACACAAACAGTCAGAAAATAACTAATAACGACAATAACAGCACTTTTAGTAGAGCTCAGCTCACCGGCTTCCTAGCTCTCACTGCAAACGAAACTCTAAAGTCGTTCCAGTGGATAAAAACACTCAATACCGCTCGGCGTCTAACAGCTTACTAGCTCGGACAGTGGATAGAACTCCAAAGACGTTCGAGCTCCAAGGCGAACCCAGTCGATCAACATCCCCTCCGTCATCCAAGCGCTCTCCTTATATAGTCTCCCCCGGCAAGCCGTGACGTCACATGGAATCATCTAGTACATTCAAGCGTATCTCCTCTCCTAATAGAGAAATCGAGAAGATTCCAGCACCTCTGAGATCCCATATTTCGTCGCCAACTTTGTCGCCAAGTTTGTCGCCAAGGTCGGGGAACCATCCCATACTTATCACTGTAAAACTCTCTTCCCAACCATAAGACTCACATTGCTGGGAAGCGACTTCCCATGTTTGTAACAATATTTTCGAGCTAATATAATAAAGTCCGAGTTGGCTACCGTGAATTGACAATCGTGAATACGAAATATTCTCGTCCAGAAACATAAGTGGATTTAAAATGGTTTCCTCTGAAGTTGTTTTTGTACTGTGGATCACACAGTTTTCCTTCGTGATGAAACATTTGCTCCTTTATTGTATGCAGTTCTGTTTAACTCAGATGTTTAGAACTCCGATGGCGAGTGGCACTTTGAAAAAGTTCGCCATTAGAGTTCTCTTTCATTTTTTCCATTTTATTTGTTTAATCTTAATGCGCTATAATTTTTATTGAAGCATGATTTTTGTTGTTTGATTGTATCTTAATTGGTTAGTTGATTATAGACAATATTGTTAATGCAATCACGGGATGCTTCTGAGTTGCGCGCAAAAGGTATATTGCTATCACTATTGTTTACTTCTTCTGGTTCTTATGCATTTTCTTTTTTACATAATTAAAATATCTTTCTTTTGTATTTTATTGGAAGTTGCTGCATTTTTGCTGGATTCTGTTTAATGCAAAGTTTAATTTTTAATATCTCTTGTTAAATTATTTCACTTGAACTTCTATTTAACTCGCCTGGTTTCATGTTTGAAAAGATAGAGTTAAAAAAGATTTTTCACTCTGTTCTTCATGTGCTAGCATTTTGAAATTTTCCACTTGTGGGTTCTCGGTGACAATTAACTTTTTTATTATTTTCAAAACTTGATACGTTATTAATACTCTCGATTAATTTAATTAAACTTTGATCCCTACGAGTGGCAGCATCTTGTAGAGAATTTGATAAAAAAAATTGATTTCAAAATTCAATAATAAGTATAATAATGAATTATAAATTAAAGATTAAAGAGTAGAAAAGAATAAAATAAAAAAAAATCTGCATTTTAGTAAACTAATAAAATTGTGTTTTTAAAAACGCTTTTTATTAAATTTATTTTAAAAATTGAATTCTTTCTTTGTTTTTTAGTTATATACATATTTTTTAATAAAAATAATCACCAAAAGCTACAATACTATAAATTACGATTGAGTTCTCATTTTTAGTTACTGATTGTGGATGAAATCACGGACCGAAGGAAGACTAGTTTAAAAAAAAAAAAAACTGAATCAATATTATTGTGATTTTCCTTATAAGCAGATAAAATTAGTCTTATGCATTCAAAATAAAGTTAATATTTTTTATATGTATTGACAGCACATCCAATACGTCAAATTTTGCTTTTCACAACTCATCAAAACTCCCAAATATTTGAGTAAGCAGCAATGCATGTCTTAAGGCAACCCTGCTTTTGCAGTATTTGCTTCTAATGTTAAATTCACCATTTATAGATTACTAGTTGTTTACAGGTTTCCTATTTTAATTTATCAATCGCAATTTACAAACCTTACTAACCTAATTTAACGAATTCGATATCTTAACGGCAAAAAATGAGCATCCGACGAGGATGGGATTCGAACCCACGCGGGCAGAGCCCAATGGATTAGCAGTCCATCGCCTTAACTACTCGGCCATGTCGTCGATTCTAGCTGATGCAGAGCTTCCTATATCTATCGTAATTTAACGAATTCGAAATCTTAACGGAAAAATATGAGCACCCGACGAGGATCGGACTCGAACCCAGGCGGGCAGAGCCCTATGGATTAGCAGTTCATCGCCTTAACCACTCGGCCACCTCGTCGCTTCTCTGGCGGAACGAAATTGCGGGTTTTCCCAGCTGTTACAGAATTTCCTTCAATGGATGAGTTTCCTGTTTTGTTTATTTACATTAAAATGCCGGGACTACGTAATTTCGGCTTGGAGTTTCTGTCGGAAAAGTATATGGAGGCCTTTCTAGGAAGGTGCCATTTTTTTTTTCTCTTGACCGAATCAGATAGGCAATAATTTTAGCCCGTCTTTTGATGGCAATTTTCATCTCTTTTTTTGTTATGGATTGAAAAGAACTATGGAATGAATAGGGAATAATAGCCTTTGTTGCTGAAAATCCTAATAAAACCCAATCAAATTAAATCAAATACGTAATTCCGCCTTTGTTGCTTTACTTGTGTTTTTTTCCGCCGTCCAAAACCATCAAATTCGGATTTCTTCTGCGTGGGAAGATTGATACAATATTCTTTATGGAATCATCTAATCATTACTATGGAATCGTCTTTTTGGAACGAACTATACTGTGTCTAACTTGGAATTAGGGGATAACAGCATTTGTAGCTTCAAATACCATCTCTTTAATTCAAATTCAAAAAATTACGTACGCCTGAAACAAGCTTGTAATAAAAGTTTGGGGAAGTATTTCTAAAAACCTCACAGAAAACTTTGTTTCTTGTTGACTAGAGAACCTTTCAGCTACCTACCTTGTCGACGACAAGGTTTCAAAACCTTTTAGACAAGCTTTCTTTGCTATCTGGGATTAGTTGCTCTGAGCAGTGGCGGACTGGGTCTGAAAATAGTGGTTGCCAGGAGTCGGTGAGGGGCTATATATATATTATATATATATATATATATATATATATATATATATATATATATATATATATATATATATATTCCTCAATTTTATTTAATTTGTTTATATTTAATTATATTAATTTAAATCTATAATATTTAACAACTATGTATTTAATTTAATTTTTTTATATATTTATTTAACACCCCTTAATTTTCTACGTTTAAAATAACGAAATTATGATTAAAGTTATTTTATTTTAAATTCCGGAAGTTAAATATTTCGTATACGGTTTTAGCGACAAAGTATGAAGGAGAAATGCTGCCCATTAGTAGGGCATCTGTTGAAAGAGCCAGGAAACTTTAAAACAAACTTCTTTGGATGATTTAGAGTTTAGTAATTTTACTGGTAATGTTTCAGTAATTTGTAATTAAACTGGTATCATTAAAAAGATATTTTTGAATGATAAGTAATTCAAAAATCATTTTGTTGATAGTATTTTTTGAAAATATTGCTTAATTTTTAAGTAACTGAAATTTTAATTTACTTTTGAACTTTAAAAAGTTGACAATTATTTTCATCTTTTTTTGAAGAGCATGTGTGCCAAATTTCATAAAGATCGAGTAAAACTAGAGATTTGTACAAAATACATCCTTATAATGTAAATACTTTACTACTTAAAAACTGTATTAAAACTGTATTACTTTTTAGCAATGGCATTAAGCTCATCTTTCCATTTAAGGAAAGATAATCTTCCTGGAGATTATGTAATTCATTTATTTGATATGATGAGGTTAACTTTTCACTTTATAATAAGATTAATAATGCTCAATAATTGTAGATTATAATTATGCAAAATTTAAAAAAATAATCTTAATTGAATTTCGTGTTTTTTAAACTTTTTAACAGTTGAATGTAAAGACTTATGTCATTAGTTTCATTAGACACAAAAACATACTGCATCAAAATTTATCTCAAATGCTAAAACATTTCCTATCTACTGTTTTTTTTCTTTGTACAACTAATTTCTTTCTCAGTCTTTTGTAGCAATTAATACTTTTAACTTAACAAAAATTAAATAAGTTGGCGAATTTAAAGTTTGTTAATATAATCAAATTAAGACTATTAATAAGATGGACGAGTCAGTTGGTAGCCGAATGCGGCTAGTGTTTAATACTACAAAAGCAATATAAAAATAGAGAAATAATAATTTCAGCTTGCCTCTCAAAACTTTTTTTTTCTTTCCTTTTGCAAGATACGCTACATATGTCTTTGCTCTCTTACGACTAAAAACAGAAATAACGCTTTCCTCACCAATTATTTTCCTTGAAAGACAGATCAATAAGACTGAGGACACTTTAAGCTTCTAAACGCAACCCCCCCAAAAAAACCGCATAAAGAGAAGCGTGAGTGTAGTCCTTTCATAGATATCATTTAGTGTCCTAGTCACAGTTTTAGCCAAGAGAACCTTTTCTTACAGGCGATTCCCTTGTTTGTCAGATTTATGACAGTAAAATGAAACTACAAAAAGAAAGAAAAAACATCTCTCCTTATAGCCATCTCTCCCAAGAACCGCACCCTTTCTGCACAAAGGGATGCAATTCCTTCCGTCTTTCCGGGGGCTTCCGAAACCAACAAAAACTCTTAATAAGTATTGCGGCTCGACTTTGGACAGAAGAGGTACCCTGTTCCAATAAAGGGCCAGAGAAGTATGGCCCTGGTTCCAATAGCCCGAGGGTTTGTGCGATGGCTGCAACATTCTGGGGAAACATCTGTAAACGATCCGAAGGTTAAATGAAGTGGACAGAGAACTCGGTACAGTTCCTACAGGCGTAAGCGTCTTGGGTCGGTATTCGACCACCCGCTGTTCGGCCGGTCGAATTATGACGGCAATAAATCCCCAACGAAGGGCTATTTTATTTGTTTGATTTAGAAAAGCTTACTATAGAGAAAGAGTTATTTTTTCTCTCCCACACTTCCTGGGGGCCCAAATTGTCTTCTGTTTAAGGGGGCCCGCTTGCCATAGGGCAAGCTGGCAACCTCGCCAGTCCGCCACTGGCTCTGAGAATATTAAGAGTTTTCTCGAATTTCCTATTCCTTCCAGACGTTGTTAAGCAACTGCGGAGTCAAAGTATCCGTTTCTGTGATGATTCGATTTCTTAATTCTTCGACGCTGTGAACCTATGCAGCATAAACTCGATTCATTTCCAAACCGAGCTTATGCTGCAGAGGTTCAGCATAAGCTCCAAAGCGTTCAGTGAAGGAAACATTTCCTTTACTGACGCTTGGCCTACTTTTTGCAAAACATGTTTGATCTCACGAAACTGTTTTAACCATCTTTTAATTGATTGTATCGTTGGCGAAGTTTTATTAAATTCACATTTCAATCGTCTCTGATCAGTTTCAGAGATTGTATTTCCCGTAACTAGGGAACGTTTCGAAAACGAAAAGTTAAGGACAAATGAAACTGCCGATGAATCATGCATTTGAATTCAGATAATTACAACGACAAGTTTCGATTATTTGAAGGCAAAGCTATTTTAGAAAAATTGTATTTCAGTAGTATTCTAGAAATATTTTTATAGCACTGTTTGTTTTTGAGCAGATGATCCTTCACTGCTGATATATAACCATGAATATTTTTCGAAGGTTCATAAGGTGAAATAATTTTGTAGATACTTCAATTAATGTATTATTTAACTATTTTTTAAATTTGAAAACAGTTAAGAAATACATTGCTATTTCTTGATTCCGCCCTTTAAATAACTTATTGAAATATGTATATTAGCCCTCAAATGTACGTCGAAAGACTGGATCAAACAGCAGTGAGATGTATGGAAAAGTGGTTTAAGTCAATAAATTTGTCTTTTTATATCTCTGTAAGTTTTGCAGATAGAATCGTGCACCTTTGCATGTAAATAGATGAATGCAAGCAAAATATTTTGGCATTTTTGCATTACGGGGCCGTATAAAAATTAATTTTTTTAAACTTTTTACTATCAATCCCCTGAGAAGTTAAAGTACTTTCATGTAATTGGAAGTATATATCTAGGATCAATATTTAAGGAAATAAACACTTGTTCCACTTTTTTGGGACAAGCTGTATATAAGTTGCTGTACAATTTTTTTTCTCTAATTTAGATAAATTTATAAAAATATTTTCAGGCATAATTTAGAACAATAATTTTCATTGTTCCAATGCAATTCAAACCGTTTTTATTGTTTAAACAAATATTTAATAGCATGTTTCTCTTACATTGTTGAAAGCTGAGATAAGATCCTAATACATTTTACAAACAAACTAATACAATCTTTTGAATTATGCTAATTTAAAGAATATTATTTCAAACAATGAAATGAAAGCTTGTTGTTGTTACTATTATTGGAGCAGTATTTTTATCTGTAGCAAAAATTCTTCAAATGATCTGTTTAAAATATAATCCATTTATTTTTGGCAGTTAGCATTACTTAAATAGATTTAGTCTTTTCTCTAAATCAGCATTTATTTCTTCCAAGCAATCTCTCATGAAATATGAATGTGCCAGCTAAGTCCTTTCAAGAGATTTTTAATAGTGGCTCGTGGGAAGGTCAGCAAAAATTCACCGATTGTACCTTGCAAACAAATGACGGTACTACTTTCAAAATCCACAGAGTAGTTTTGTCTCAGCGCAGTGAATATTCCCGTGCATTATTTAGCCGTAATTTGAACCAAGAAACGGTGATTGTTCCGAAAGTAGACAGCAAAATTTTAGATTCAATTCTCCTGTACATATACACGGGAGCAATAACACTTGATGGAAAAAAAGTATGCGACATAATGGTTGCTTCCGATTACCTACTTCTGGATGACTTGTTGAAAAGATGTCGGTCTTTTGTCATTGAAAACATGATAAGCACAAATTGTCTGTCTTCCCTTTCCATCGCTTGTCAGTTTGAGAGATTGGCTGTCACGAAGGACTGCTACAGGTTCGCGCTTGTCCACTTCACAGATATTTTTGAAACATCAAATGGTGGATTGGAAGATCTTTCTTTCGAAATCCTCAAAAAATTGCTAGAAAGTAAGAGTTTGAATGTTATATCTGAGCGAACTGTCTGGGAAGCTATTATTTCGTGGACTGAAGCTAACAGTTTCGTAAGACTGCCTCATGTTCCTGCACTTTTAACTTGCCTTAGACTCCAAGAAGAAACAGACGAAAACCTGTCAGCGGAAATTCTTTCTCATACCATAGTAAGCAGAA